ATTACTGTTAGGGGTTAGCTGCTACTGTTGGCGCAGTGATTAGACACAAGCCCAAGCCCCAATAGTTACCATGGCATTGATTGTAACCAAATAGTCAGGTGCTCACTCAGTGCTTGGGTCCAGTTCATAAGCCGTCTGTATTCAAGTGTCGTCACCCTGGTGTGAACCCTAGGCTTTCTCAACATTGTGATTTCTGACTGTAAATTAGCCTTCTATTCCTCAGAATATAACCTTGGCAGGGGAGCCTCTGGTTTGTGGTATATAGATTATTATATAGATTATATTTGTGCTACAGACGTCAGTATGCTTGTATGAGGTGCAGAACATCCAAATGCATATCGTTTCTTGGCCCCTTTAACATGTGATGCTTTTTTTGTATGGCACATGATATGCTATTTGGCAGAGCCAAGGCAATTACAAGGAGAAAGCCTAGTTTTTTGTTTTGATATTTGACTGCAAAAATGATGTGATATTTATTTTGCTATCTCCCCATCTGGCAGACCACCAGTACAGCATCACAGGATGTATCGATCAAGCCCTGCGTGATCGCATCAGGCAGCTAGAGGAGCTCGCTTCTGCAAACGAGAAACTGCGCAAGGACAACGACCGTCTACAGAAAGAAAATGAAGCTCTGCGGAAGAAAGTAGCCCATCTTGAGGAGATGTATGACAAAGCAGAGGAGGTCATCGATGCTACAATCCCCTTTCAGAACTTCACGCTCACAGCCGTGCAACAGGACCCAAAGAAACTGGCCTTCTACACGGGATTCGACTCCCTGGAGAGATTTCTCGCCTTTTACAAGTTTGTTCAGGCAGGTTATGAAGCTCACAAGGAAAGTCAAGGTCCGCAGAGAAGGTCACCTTATCTATCCATGGATGATCAGCTGCTGCTCGTGTTGTCCCGCCTGAGGGTGGGACTTTTGGAGCAGGACCTTGCATACCGGTTTCGTATCCACATCAGCACAGTCAGCCGGGTGTGGACATTCTGGATTGGTTACCTAGCGGACTACCTTGCTCAACTCAACTACTGGCCGTCGCGACAGGTTGTGAACAAGCACATGCCGGAGTGCTTCATCGAGGCGTATCCATCGACGAGAGTCATTCTGGATTGCACGGAAATCTTCATCGAGACACCTAGCGACTTCAGGGTGCAGAGTGATACCTACTCAAGCTACAAGTGCCACAACACTGCCAAGGGACTGCTGGGCATCACCCCCAATGGGTTCGTGTCGTTCGTGAGCGACCTTGCCCCTGGCCGCGTCTCTGACAAAGCCCTGACCGCATGTTCCGGGCTATGCAACCTTCTTGAGCCCGGAGACTCTGTCATGGCGGACAGAGGCTTTTTGATCACTGAAGAGGTCGAAGCTGCAGGGGCTAACCTGAACATTCCACCTTTCCTTGGGGGAAGGCTACAGCTCTCCCTGGAGGACGAAGCGAAAACTAGGGCGATTGCGAAGGTCCGGATCCACGTGGAACGAGTGATTGGACAAATGAAGTGTTTTCGAATCTTGAGGGGTACTTTCCCAAACAGTATGAGCAAGAGCCTGGACTCTATCTGGAAGGTCTGTGCTTTGCTGTGCAATTTCACGAGAGAGCCACTGCTCAGTCGAAGCTAGAGCTGCAGTCTTGTGGCTTCGTAGATGGTCGTGGAGAAAAAAGAGGCCATATCTCTCTATCTAGCTCACTTCAGCTCCGGCAACTTTTTGTGCCCACACGCCCTCATGACCCATGACGACCATTAGCACCGACTACGGCCCTCGGGACTTTCCTCTACCCAACGAAATGGACTCACAACCCACCGAGGCCACGCTGGCTTCTCCCGCTGTCTGAAGCTTACCGCTCAATGCACCACCCACAGCCGGTGCAACCACTCCTGCCGTCACGTCGCTTCTTGATGCACCACTTGTTGCCGCGTGAATTCAACCTGCGGTCTTTACTCAGAATCCATTCTCCATCCTCGGCGACGATGATCCCGAAAGCAAGTTGTCGCCCCTCAACAACAGTTGCCACATCCGCACTGCCGCCAATGAAACGAAGCGTGCTCGTGGCATTTTTTTCTTCGGCGCCGCTGCGACTAAGCTTACCACCTCACCCCGGTGCATCCAACGTGACTCGAACCCTGACTCGTTCCCCCTGGAGGACGGATGGCATCCTGTCTCTCGCCGACGTAAGGCGGCCCCGCCCGCGGCGCCTCCAGCAGCATCGTTCTGCAGTGAGTTCTCCCACACTGTCATTCTACGGCCGGCCAAACCATGCCGCATCATGGACGGGGTCTTTCTTGCCATTGACTCTGCAGTTGCTGCACAGATAGACCTCAGGTCTCCTACACCATTGCAGCCCCCTACCAAGTGAGGTACCTCGACTGCAGTAATCAACTTGCAGTTGATGCTGCTTTGTCTCAAGTGTGCGATGCATTCCTCAATGTAACATACATCCCGATCGGCACTCTGCAGGTCTCCGTGCAAGGCTACGAGGCCATTCGCCGTGGCCAGGTTCGCGGATTCATAAAAAAAGTCTGGCGACCTGGATTCTGCGTCCTAAAAAACCTTCATTGCCGGAAATCTGCTATCCTCCAGGCCGGTCCTCTCACAAACTCTGGGTCGGCACTCATTACATTCGACGGCACCAGCCTCGCGTTGCCCAGTGCCCCAACAGCACCCAAGCCAACGGCACAACACAGCGTCGTCAGTTGCCTTCATCAACATCCAAAGAGAAGCCGGCGTCACCACCAGTGACGCCTGAAACTAGCTCCTGCTCAGCAAGCTGTGCTGTTATCTGCGCCCAAAGCCCTCATCGCAGCACCGAGGTCTGCGAAGCAGAAGACTGACTCCCGCCCGGTGCTCGCCACAAAACTCCTAACGCCGGCACACAACATCACCGCCGACCTCACACAAGTCCCAACATCAGAACCGCCTCGGACCACCTTCGCAGAATCAGCGAGAGCTGTCAACAGCACTAGTGAGACGCCTGCCCTACTTCCGTCAGGGTCAGACTTTACTGGCTTGCAACAACAAATCACCCTTTTCACAAAACAAATGCTGGCAGCCACGCAGCGAATTCCGACGATGCAAAACTCGCTGTTTACTCTCGTGGATACCTGCACCCGTGCAGTAATCGGGCGCCTCGCGATGCAGGGCATCATTCCGTTCGGCGGCCCCCCACTATCACCACGCAAACATGGTTAGCGCCCCCAGGATTGTTCAGTGGAACTGTTGCTCGCTTAAACAGAAGAAGGCAGACTTCATCGAAAAATTTTATCTTCACTCGTCATCCGACATGGCCGCTGCGTTTGCTCTACAAGAAATCAACGGCCCCCTCCCTTCTTTGCCACAGTACGATGGACTTGCTCCGAACATTGAGACTAGTGCCCCCTTGCCTTGGATTCGTTCCGCCCTGTACGTTCATCGATCAGTGTGCTTCACTCTTCTCGACACCTCACAGAGGTGCTCTGCAATGACCAGCGTTACGGGTTGCCGCCAATTCCTCAACGGCCCGTTTTTCTCTTCTCTGTCTATGTGGCTCCAGACACATCGCTAAACCGCTGGACAAGGCAGCCGCTAAACATCCCTTTTTTTAAGCACTTCGCCCGTCTTTATCCAAAAGACGACGTTCCCGTTTGCGGTGATCTTAATGCCAAACACACGCATGGGGCTACGACATTGACCTTCCCCACGGCACGCGGCTTCTTGCAGACCTCACAGGGCTGAAACTTTCGTTCCTCAACATCCCAGACACCCCCACACGTATCAAACAATCCTCCCAACAGCAGGACACCTGCCCCGACTTTACCTGTGCTCGTTACCCTCGACGCTGGAGATGGCATGTCGCCGGCGACCGCCTCGGCGGTGATCACCTCCCCATTATTTTACGCTACGACTTCCTATCCGCAACCCTATCTCACTGTCGCGCCTGCTGCGACACATTCTTCACTAAGTGGGACAACTTCCGAGCAGCTCTTTCTTCTGTCATGGAACTTGCTGGCTTTTCCGACATTATACAAGCTATCCAGTCCGCCCACAAGTCTGCCACAAAGCGGCTAACCGTACCGGACGATGCCGCTTTGACGAGCATTTACTTACTGGACCGCCGCATTCACCTGTTGGCCTGTTACCGCCGTTCTCGCAGACCACGACGACTCCTCAAACCTTCACATAAACTCCAAAAGACTATCTCGTGCTACACTTCGGAACTCGCTTCCAACTGCTGGACTTCCCTGTGCAGATCCATCTCCGGCAATAGCCATCTTTCGAAAGTTTGAAGGCTCCTCCGTTCTCTCCTCGGGGACCACAAACCTAGGCAATTTGCTGCCACTGTTGCCCTTCGCAAAGGTGTCTCTCCCGAGGAGCTAGCTGAACGGGCCTCGGACGTCTTTTTTCCGCAACCAGCGCAACATGACTCTGGATGCTACACTTGTGTTCACCCTGTCACCAAGCTCTTGGGATGGATTGCCCGTTCACCCTCCACTCGCAGTGCACCTGGCCCCCAACAACGTCACAGTCGGGCAACTTCAGAACCTCCCTACGGCACTCAAGGAAACCATACTCGCCGAGATCAACCAGGTGACTCCAGACTACTGAAGCCCCAGGAGTCCCTGATCGCTGCCACTTGTCTCATTCGCCCTGGAAGCTCCCGAGAAGATTAAAAGCTTTTCCTCTTTTTATGCCCAAACAGCAGGGCAGATATGGTGGCCACTTCTTTGGTCGTTAAATAAATGTTTCAAAGCAAAGGTAGATGGTCATGATGAAAGAAATCAAGGACGTTAGGATTCCTGTCAGAAGTACTCAACGCAATAAAATGTTGTCCAAACTTGCCAGGTTTTAATTTTAGATTGGTTGCACACTACACGACAGAGTAGCGAGCATTTGATTATTCTTAATTTTTAACTAGGACTGATTAAATTAATTTCAATACTTTTGGATGTTTTATTTTAATACACACATATCCTCTAAAAAGGGCGGAAATGTAGTGGTTAATAAAGAAAAATAGACGTAATGGTGGGGCCACAGTCGACTCCTAGCAGAACTGTTTGGTGGGGCAACAGGCAGACTGAGATTAAAGCCCCTCTATCCTGGGAAAAGTGGCGCCATTCATTGTTGTGGAAATTCTCGAGACACGTACCGTGTGCCACTTCTGGGAAGGACATGGCGTCTGAAATCTAGCTCAGTGCTGCGCTGTGTCGCCATGATCTTCCCAAGGGCTGCATGTTGCACGTGCCTCGTGCATCGACGCACTTTGCGCTACTTTTAAAACATGAAGGGGCTTTAACTGAGATGCCATTGCGTGTGCCACAGGCAAAAATTCAAGATGTTGAAAACAAGCTGTTGCATTGTAAATTGTGCGAATTACTAAAATTCTCCGTCAATATGCCCCAGCAAATGAAGATTAGAGGGTTTACAGATTAAACCAAAGGAAGATGTCTGTCACCCCAGAGGAAGAACATGTGGGGACCTTGACGTGCAACCAAAATTTCACCATCAATAGCGCTGAAATCAGTAACGACACTACCGTAAACCAATTTTGCTCCCAGGTGGGCCGCCGGAAGCGGCGTTGGTAGCCACAGCACATGGTCGTTGTTGGAACTTTCGCGCATAATGCAGAAGAGGATCATGCCCTCTTTAGGTGTCACACGCTCCCATACCATCTTTAGTGTTTGTGTGTATGGCGCGTGCTTTGGACGGTTTCACAACTGACGACCACGCGCATGCTAGGCTGTGAAGATTACACGCTGGGGCGTGGGTTTGTAAACAATGGAAAAGTGTATGAAATTTAGCATGCACAGTGCACAAACTATTTTCAGTACACAAATATTGCGACTACTATATCGGACAGAGGTACGCGCTACAGTTTGCAACAAATTCTTGTGCCGACATGAGCAGTCTGAGGCATTCCAACTACTTGTCATGACAGCCACTTTCAGTTCACAAAAGTTGGTTTATTATATGTTCTCCAAGTCTTTGGCATTAAAAATGAGGTTGATTCCTTTGTGACACTGCCGTGCCGGGCTGTGGCCGGCGGTGAAACTGCACAGCCCACCAGCGACGGCAAGCAACCAACTGAGCGTCCAGAGCTAGGAACCAAAAGGCACCTTTATCACACGAGGCAATGGCTTTTTACACAAGACGTGGGCACAGTGTTTGCAACCCGATTACCGAAAGTGTCCAAACTTGGCACTAGCACCGCCCGCAAAATCCCCCCTTTAGAATGTTCAAGGAGAGTATCGGACACCTTGGCTGTGAAAAAAAACAAAGTTTTACAGATTGAGTCTCTTGGGAGCGACCACTTGTCTTCCAGAATGGGTTGAGTAGTGTCGGCCCGTACCATCACCACGAACACGTGGTGGTGATGCTGGACGAGGCACATCACGATGACGCGAGTAGACAGGTCCACCTGAGGCCGAACCGTCGACGGAAGCTAGGGGTGACGCCGGCCTCGGAGAGACACAACAGCACCTGCCGCAGGCGTTGGTCATGTTCCTTTTTCGTTCTGCCGAAGACTAGGATGTCGTCGACCATGTTGACCAATCCGTCTAGGACTTCCAAGATCCACGCCACCTGTCGCTGGAAAAACTCAGGGGCCGACGTGATGCCAAATGGGAGTCGGCAAAAGCAATAACGCCCATACGGCGTAATGAACATCGTAAGCTCTTGAGAGTCCTTGGAAAGCTTGACCTGATGGAAGCTTGAGGTAACTTTGAGCTTCGAGAAGACTGCCGCATCGCCCAGAAGTCCCAGGACTTGATCGACGGTGGGGAGCACATGACGTTCTCTCGGGACAACTTGATTTAATTTTGTAAAGTCGATACAGACACGGTAACCTCCCGACGACTTTGGAACCATGAACAGTCCAGCGTCCCGAGGTGTGGGGTTGGTGACACGCCGAATGGCTCCGTCTTGCTCCAGTTTGGCCAGTTCTGTTTGCACCACCTCGCGCAGGGGTATCGGTATGCGGCATGGAACACTAAGTGAAAACGGAACCGCATCCGGGCGTAGCCGAATCTTGTACTCCTCCTTGAGCGTGCCGAGACCTCTGAAAAGTCCCTGCGGTGCCGGCACTTTCATGTCGTCCAAGAACTTTACCACACCCAGAGCCTGGATGGCTGGGAACCCGAGCAGGGGCATAGAGAGGGACTTGATCACGTACAGACGCTGATGACCGGTCTTGCCTCGCCACAGGAGGGTAGCCATGAAGTACCCAATGACTTTTAGCGACTGGTCTCCTGGTGCTGTCAGCAGGTCGTCGACCTTGTCCAGATGATGAGGTAAGTTCGGGAAGGCTTCCGAAACAGCAGACGCCTCCGCGCCGGAATCTACCTTGAATATCGCCGTGTAGTTGTCGACATTGACCTCAACGTACTTGGCCTTGGCCTTCTCAGTCTCGAGGATTGCGTGGAGCGGTAAGGAACGCCACCTTGCTCTGCTTTCGTTTCCGAGCGCAACAGACGTCCGCGAAGTGGCCCTTCTTCTTGCAATAATTGCACAGAGACTGCCGAGCAGGACAGTCTGAGCGTGTGTGGGGGGCCCGACTGCAGTAGCTGCAGGAACCTGGGTCGTTATCGCCAAGTGAAGACACTGCTGATGCGTCGTCTGACCGTTTTGTTGTCTTGCGTTGGTGCGTCGGACCATGACAAGACTTGGTGGCGTCAACGTTGACGGTGACCTGGACACTCTCGACTCCCGCGAGCAGTTTTTTTCTTTTTCGGCGTCTTCGATCTGCCTCACCTGCGTCCACGCGTCCTTGAGGCTGAGCTTGGCTTTCCAGCAGAGCTGGCCGGACAGGCGTTCGTCGCAAAGACCAACAACGAACCGGTCGCGAACCAGGCGTTCTTCGACTTTGGGGGACGGGTAGTTGCACCACTTGACAAGCTTGCAGAGCTCGGCGTAGTAACTGTCGACGCTCTCTCCCGGCTGCTGAACCCGCTCGTGGAACCTCGAGGACTCTTACACCTCGTTGACGGGGTACAGGAAGTGTTCCGAGAAGCGCTTGACCACCGTGTTGTAGTTGTTCAGGGAGGCGGCGTTCAAGCCGAACATGTCGAGAAGGACCCGAGCCTCGGGGCCCATGCAGTAGAGAAGTGTCCGCACCTGAATGTCCGGTGGTGCTTGGCGAAGTACGGAGGCATAAGCGTACTCCTCGAGTTGCGTAAACCGGGTAGGCCAAGAACCGGTGTTGTCGAAGTCGAAACCAGCAGGCTGACGTACGGAGCCGCCCACCCACGCGGGCAGTGTTTGCAACCCGATTACCAAAAGTGTCCAAACTTGGCACTAGAACCGCCCACAACAGACACTACAATTTTATGATCAACACTCAGTCTTTCCGATATTTAAAAAAAAAGTCTGTCAGGCGTGGCACCATAACGTTCACCCAGAGTGCCTCATCAAAGGGCACCCGTGTGACCCAGCAGTCTTTCGCCCAGTCAACAACAAGGTCACACCACTCCAGTCCTGTGAGCGCAAGTTGTCCTGTCACCTGGTAGTAGTGCTTGTGCTTTTTGTCGACACTCTTGTCCGCATGGATAAACTCCACAAACCCTCTGCTCATCACCTCCTCGAAGGTCGTCAGGTTCGCATCTATCGCCCGTGACACGGTCTTCACTTCGACTAGTCCGTACTCCTGTATATCTTCGTCCCAGACCAGCCCGTCTGGTGATGCCCCCAGCATGGGAAGGCCAGGGTTGATGCAAAGGCCAACACTGAAGACTTGGACCTTTTGCTTGGCCTTGTAGCGCTTCAGAGCAGCCGCCTCATTCTGAAGTCCCGCCCTCATGTGACGTGTCGTGCCATGTCCGCCCGAGAAAATCGTCCTGAGAAACTTTTCGTTCACGGGTGCTTGTCGTTTGACGATGTCTCCGAACTGTGATGCCGTGATCCTTTTCTCACGTTCCGTGTGCCACAGCATACTTCTGCTTTGGCCACGTGTCTGTTCCTCCAGGTGCTGAGCTTGTGTAAGAGTCAGGGTGCATGGATCGCTTGGTGGCATCTGGTGATTCCAGCACTCTTTTATGGGCAAGCTGATCCGTGCTGCAGAGGCCCCATCATCCGTGTTCGAGTGCTCCTGAACCTTCCTTGGCAAGGGTGTGAAGGCAGCTTCTTCCATCACGTCCGCAAACATTGGGAATATTCCCTTCTCAATGAAATCTGTATGCAGCCTCTTGACGGTTGCCTGCGCCACGTCCACATGCACTTCCGTGGTTTTTCTCGCACTCTTCGCCTTGTTGCTAGAGTCGTGCTTGACGAATTCTAGTTCGTTGAACGACACCGTACTTGCACCTCTCTTTGAAGATGGGCCCCACTGCCTTGCTCCCTCAGTGCAGGCCAGAGCATCCGGGATGTAGGACCTTCCCTCCCTTATCAGGTCTAGCATGTGCCAAAGCAGTGCTGCCACATGCTTGCACACACCGCCTTGTCCAGCCTTGCAGGAACAGGAAGCCTTGCTGACCTGCCCATCTTGGCAGAGCACAGCATGCACTGCGTATCGCTTCGTAAGGGTCATGGAAGCCTCCACGTTAGCCTTGACAATTGTCTCTGATGCACTTGTGGTGTGGAGGAAGATGTTCTGCACTTTGTGGGCCTTGAACATTTTGTAGCCAGAACTTGTGTGCTTCTGTGCTCCAGCTGCTTGGCCATGCCCTTGGATGTGGCTTTCCGAGAATGCGGAAGGAAAGTCCTTCAGCTGCTTGGTCCAAGGTCCTGCTGGAAGTGGTAGCTCTTGCGGCTCTGGTACATCCCGTGTCGCCATAGCCTTCCCTGAAAAAAAGGCAGCTCAGTCAGCGTTTTAAAAGGAGGACGGAAATTTGACCAACACAGTTTTTTAATGGGTTTGGTGTTGTTTTGACAGAATTAACCTAAACTTGCGAAGTAAGAGTTCATCTAGGGTAACAACCCCTCAAAAAAAGCCTGCTGTAAACTTTGTGCTAAAAAAAGAGCGTTTGCTATTAGGCAAACATGCCAGCTTTTGTAATCTACAACTTCTTGTGCACTTTCGAACATTACACAGTCGAAGGAGCATTCTGAAAGCAAGCCACGCACTGGCATTGGGGACAAGCATCTCCAGTGTCACTGAGCTGCTTGTTGCTGCTGCCCTGTCAGTGTCCATGATATAGTGCAGCTCTGAATACGAAGAACGCGTTTTGACCATAATCCGTTTCGTGCCAGCAGCATAAAGCTGCTGGCACGACCGTGAAGTGTTGTACAGGAGTGGCAAAGACACTCCAGCTTTCAATGCGTCAGTGTTCGTCCAAAAGAAGCAGTTCGCAGAGCCACTAAAAAGTGTCTAGCATTTCATATGCACGCGCTTGCGTGAAAACGGGATGATCAATAAAGATATGCACTCGCGGGACGCTGTGTTAGCGCGGTTCGCAGGGGCAATCTTGCCTCACCACAGTGAGCGCGCTAGCTGAACTGTAATTTCGATAAACAATGGAATCTCCCCCATACTATGCATAAAACGCAGTCAGAACCCCTTCTCCCGCCGCGACGAAGAACCGAACGCGAAGGATGTGATGCTGCGCGGACGGTTGTTGACGAGCGCTGCCGAGGCACGCCGACCGCTGGTACAGCTTCGCAAGCGTCCGAAGGGCAAAAAGATCGCAACGACAAAGCACCGTCCCGAATGTTGAGCACGCAAGCAGTACTCGATATCCCACGCTCACATTTCACAGGGCGAGCGCATCACGAAGCGAAGGCATGTCGGCCTTCGCTTCGTGATGACTACTTTATTTCTCTGCTTACAGCGGTGACATTTGTAGTGATGTTCGAAACTGCTCTCTCGCGACCGCACACGAGTTAAATGAACGGCCTAGGAGCGGGATAGAGCGTAACGGCAACAGTCAGTACTCACCCCGGGAGCGGCGAACGAAGCGGCGTGGTGTCCGTCGACGGCCGCGTCGAAAACGATGGAATATGCACAAAAACACGTAATATACAGAAGAAATACAAAGCGCTGAACGAAATAGATACACTTATGAACAAGAAAAATACACTGGAGTAGATAAAAAAGAGGATTATTAAGTATAAACAACGAAGATGAAAAGTATGTCTAGGGCGAGGTGATGCGATTCCAACGGAGAGCAGCCAGACGACGGGGGCCGACAGAACACCGATCCCAAGATTCCTCGCGCGCGCGCCGGGGCGCTTGGGAGAGACTGCAAATGGTCTATTGCCCCCCTACAAGATTATAGAAGATTAACCCGTCACTCAAAATTTGTACAAAAGCAGCCGCTTCGGTGGCTGGAACGACTAGGCCATCCTCTCGACGTCAGCCTCGCCGTAGCTTTGGTCGTCTTGAGACGACCTACGTCACGATTGCGTTGGATGTCACGTGGTCTCCGCTGGGCCTTCTCCGAGCGCTTGCGAAAGTGGGCCGTTTATAACGAAAAATACAGCCACCAGACTCAAAATACAAACGTGCGATTGTCATTTACGGATAATGTGGATCATATTCAACCTATTTTTGAACACGACGGGAATATTTCAAATTTCGTTGAAGTATCCCTTTAAGGACAGACAAAGTAATGATCTGCCAAAGTATATGCGATCTACTACAACTCCCTATTGTGCACCCTTTGCCGACGGGCGTTAACACCCTAAACTTGGTGTATCTGCACGGGGACTTTCACATCCGAGTAGGTTGTTGGTAGGCACTGAAAGGAATTTTAGGTTTTCACTCTGACACATATTTCCAGGCTCTCTCGCTCCATCTACCAGGGTTGACTTGAGCGAGCAGGCCAAATCCCCCAGAGCACTTGACGGTGCGCTTATCAAATCTTGCTACTTTGGGCCGAAAAAATTTTCCCACGGCGGTTTTTAGGAGCCGCCGCCTGTCTTACGGGTGGGCAATATTGAATCCACTATCTAATAAAGAAAACAAATTTTTCTTTCCCCACAACTGTTTGCACCGCCTACTTACTTAAAAAAAATTACCATAAGAGTTTTTGGGGTAAAAGACAGTTTGGTAGAAGTCATTCCAAAGAAAGGCTTCTTTGCGCTTCACGGACCGGGAAATTTTCTGCATAATCAGCCGCTCCACAAAATACACAAACAAGTGTAATGAGGCCACCTGGTGGCAGCTACTTCAAAAATATTGAATTTAAAACGTAACATGGTGTACAAAAACCCAATATTGTATTAATGGTACAGAAAGGTAATCTTACCTTGGCTGTTCTCACAATGACAGAAAATACACCATTTTCATGGGAGAACACTCGATTCACCATTGCAACTTCCTATTCCTTGTCTGTTAACACGCAGTAGTATGATAAGTGCCGAAAATGTTGTAATCTCACAAACACCTGCAGCACAGGCACTAGGCTTTGGAAAACAATGTGCTCACTCACAACTTTGTCTTCATTGTAGACATTTGTGAGATGGAGTATATTCACCAAGTTATACTTTTTTTTTTCCCCCCTCGGAAGAAAGTGCGGGGGGGGGGGGGGGGGGGGGGGGGGGGAGGGTTGAAAGAATCAACAACACATTTTTCGTACATGCACCAACTTCTTTTTTTTTATTTAAAAATCTGCATTCATTATTTGTTTTCAATCTTGCAAAAAGAAATTTGGCAAGTGTTTACATTGTAGCTGCAACAAAAAAATCAAAACGACGGAAAGCCAACTCTAAAATCAATTTCCGCAGGAAAACAAACAAGGAAATAAAATCCAAACTTGAGCCAAAGTTTAAAAAGCAACAAGCTTTCCTTTCACATACATATGTATATATATCTGGAATGATATTGAAAGGCTAAATCCATTTGACTAGACAGCGATATGTCCTCCGTTGCTGCAGATATCTCCATTCGAACTTTACTATGGAAGTTCCGAGGGAATTGCACTCAAGTTTGCCCACGGCAATGGCACGCTTGTTGAAGAAGCTCGTGGTTATTATCACGTCCGCAAAGGGACTTCATCGGTAGATAAGTTACGTACGTAGCATCAGGTCTTGCCGACAGAGAAATTGCGATAAACGGCTCTACTGCAAAGTATGAAACGGCTCTTTTGTGCACAGCACCGACACACGATGCATGCAAATGTGGGACAAAAAAAAAATCATTTATGACGAAAGAAGCATACACTCATGTAGAGAGGTACCCCTATTTTTTTCTAAAGCGATTGAATTGCTCAGTAGAGTCAGTGACAGGCTATGAACCCAGCAGAAGCTCTGCCTCCAATACGTATTCTTTGCCTTCATGCCGGGCCTTGGTTGTGAGCACGACAAAGGGTTACCAACGGCAGATAGCTTGTGCTTGAGGCAGACCATCTTACATGGTTCTTAACCTGTCACCATTTATAAAGATGAAAACAAAAAAACAAAAAAACATTAAAAAGATTTTGCAGAAAAAAAGATTTTTTTTCCACACTATCACAAAGAAAACAATGCTAACCCCTAGCTAAAAATAATATATACACAAAGGGCAAATAGAAAACAAGTCCAACTTTTAGGAACTGCAAAGTGGTGGATATGTGGAGGGGAAAGAAAAACGGAAAGGTCCACCGTACGTTGGCGAAGTGGGCTTGACGTTAGACTCGGGGAATTGGTTGCTATCTGTCTCGGCTAGTTTTGGCTACACGCTAAATCCGACTCCTGTTTTTTGGTTCAGAAGTACCCGACTAATGCGTCGCTACAAACCCCGGGGGAGATGCCAGGGAGACGTTGCGAAGGGGCGTTTTTGTTCGTGGTACATTTTCGTCTTCGGTTTAGCTTTCTTTTTTTTTTCTCCTTGTCGTTTTTACTTGACGGTGAGACCTTGGAATCCGTGCACGACCAGTTGGGACTGTTGGAACTCCCTTCGGCCGTCCTCGCCTGAAACGCAACCACAAAAATAATTGGAAACTTCAATAGTGCGCTAAACACAAGATGGAAGAACGTGCTTTTGTTTAGGTACCTAAAAATCTTGGGATATCTTTCCTGCCGCAAAAATAAACTACGTAAAGCTGAATGCTCAGTCTTCGCCCCCAATGTAGCACTAGTGGTTTGAACCAGGTGCCAAAGCTTCAGAACTTACAAATAAAAAAATATAAAAGTGATTTTAGAAAAAAATTTATTAAAAAAATGGCAGTTGACGAAGTCCTTAAATGCATGAGGATGAATCGCATGAACTGCCAGAAAAAGGCCCCATTCACCCAATGAAACTTTCAGAAAATCACTCGAATCTTTTGAAAGAGACAGTAGTTAGCTCTGAAACCTTGGTTCTGGTCCAAACTACTAGTTGTGACTGTTTGGGCAGGGGATGAGCATTTGAAGATACAGTTAATTTTTGTGGCGAAAAATATATACATTTGTTGTTTTTTTTGAGGGGAGACACAACAATTAAACGCAACATTTGTTCGGATCCTCCGCAGCATTCTTCAGCAATGCACTTGCACCGACAACAGCGTGCCTGACCAATTCCACCAAAATAAAAAACCATCGCAAATCTGATAAAAAATAAATTAATAAACTGCCAAAGGGTAGTGCTAGTTCAGAAACACGGCTATACAGTACTGACAGCCAATGCAGAAGGGCAAATCAGGTCACGAGCGTCTCATTATTTGCTGCACAGCCCATGAGACTATAGCACTCGCTGTTGAGGACGCCGAAGACAAGTTAGAAACCGTGAAGCATGAACCTAGCTAGTCAGTGACTACAGTGTCGCTTCAGAGAAAACATGTTCAATGACCTGGCACTAAAGGAAAACCGACACATCAAAATCATAATTTTTTTTATGATCCGGAACGATTGAAAACGATGCCGGGACATTACCCTCAAAATTCGAAGCTTGGGAATTCAGTATTTGTGAAGTAAAAAAACAATTTCCAAATGCCGAATTCTAAGTTCCCGCGCGATTCGCGCCAGTGCGTCGACGCCAAATATTGCGGAGTCCTGCGAGTTGACTTTTTTTCACGACTCCGGGCTGTTGCCACCGCGACCCGCAGCGAGGAGGTGAGGAGCGGGAGGTAAGGGCGCCGGTGGACCGAGAAAAACCAGTTTTATTCCGTGCGAGCGGTGCCGCCTGCCCAGGTGGCATGTTTTTCGAGGGATCATACAAATCCAGGAGGCGACATCACATCGCACTCCGATTTTTGGCATTTCAAAAAGAAGGGCCGTAGAGTGCATTCGCAATTGCGTTAAAAAAAACATGCTTTACGATTGCCGTTATTAAATGTCATAGAAATGTCGCCTGCAAAGATTCTAAATTTCATAATTTTCGACATCACAAATCAAAATCGGCGAGGAGCGGGAGAGAAGGCCGCCAAAAATAAAAAGGGGCACGCGCGCGCGGGGGACTTTTTTAATTTTTTTGCAATGCGGTATTTTTTTGCATGTATATGACTCCGATTTGCATCGTTTTAGACAATAAAAAAATTACGACCCTTGGGGTGTCAGTGCCCCTTTAAGCAACAAACTTGATATATACATATATATTATTTTTTTCCTCAGTAAGATACTTGGAAGAAAAGAGGCAAAGAGGAGCTCACCAAAAGAGAAGAGCGCTTCTTTGGCTTGCTGTCGCACCTTGGCCACCTCGTCCGCGTACGACAGATGCACCAGCTCCTCCATGTACTCGTGGGCCTGCACGAGAAACAAACAAAAATTGCAACTAAAGCACAACAAAACAACGAAGACACACGTCTCATTAATCTGTTCACATGTTTTATGCTCGTATAGAAATAATAAAACATGTACATGCACTCGCTGCACCAAGAAAATCGAGCGTGCGCCAGAATGCAATCCTATTGTGTATCGCTTCGGTGTGGCAGACGACGGAAAATCGTCTGCTACCGATCTGCTACGAGCTGCCACTTGCACGAAACGGAACAGAAGGTCAGTGGATCTCCTGTTAGAAATCGCGTCCCACGAGACACTGGATCGAATGCGAACTTGAACTGCGACTTTCTGCTACTTCATGAAGGGGGCAATTGACAACCCACATTTTTGCAAGTTTTGTTGCCGTACAGTCGCTGAAATCTACCCACTAGTAAAAAGGCTTGGGACAAACGCTTCGGCGGTAGCAAGATCTCTCTCACGGCCGTTTAATAAAGTTTATTATTTTTTTTATTTATTGATTTACTATGCTGTAAACAACTTCATTTTCGCAAGGACCTAATTTTCACGAATCGCCTACAGTTTGCGAGAAATAGGTCCCGCGAACAATTCCAAAACTTCAGATTTGACCTAAAACGTGAAACATTGATCCCGCAAAAAATAAGTCCTTTACAGTACTTATTTAAATCATTTAAGAATAAAGTTTATTCTTTCTCTCTCTTTCGCTCACAAATGTACGGGTGAAAAGTTACTGCTCAAAATATGGCTGATTGGGGACTCGCGAGTGGACATTTTTTAAAAGAAAGCTCGCCCGGCAGAACCTGTGATGCATCCAATTAGTGGCCTAAAGTGCTGAACATGACGATTTTAATTAAGGTTTGGGTAAAATCTCAATGTTTAACATTTACCTATACCAGTTACATCGCACCCTCATTTTTTTTTTTTTTTTTGATCGAGAAAGCTCTTAATTTTGCCGCTCTTATTAAAAATAAGAGCTAACGCAGCTATATGCGACCAAGGATCAAAAGCGAAGGTGCCATGCTTTTAGTGGTTTGATCAAGCTTTTCCAGGAATAAAATCAATGATATTTTCTCCAGTGTACAGTTGTCATAAGAATTAAAAAAATTGCACACTTTTACTTATTTCTTAGTTGTTTTGTTGTCAGCTTGTGGCGGAAAAGTGCCTTGTCTGTAAATATCTCCACGACAATCGAGTTCTTCAATTCATTGCAAATATCAACATTGCAGCAGTCACACTGTTTCGTGTTGCCGCCTGTCATGTCGAACAGCAGGACGCTATTTTCTGTTTGAAGTTGGTACTCTTGCTACAACATAGATGGCGACAGCATCAGTTTGCACTCGGCAAGTTCGTTGAGAACCGGTTCTTCCTGCGGAACTCCGCGAGTGTGATGCATTCTGGGAGAGAACTTGCATAATGCTAGTGCAACAAACTCGCTATAAATGACCCACCAAAAATTTAAAATTATTTACATGCATTTAGCATTTAGGTCCAATTTAATGCAGTTTCGACATTGGCCTCTATACACTTGACAGTTATAGCAATAATGCTGTAAGAGAGCTATAAAGAGCAAGCCATGCATACCTAGAACACAGGCTTGGATACGCTAGAAACACCAGATCCCCGCCACAATAATTTAGGTTTCTGTGCCAACGAAACATCTTTCAAAAATATTCTCCGACAAGAAGCTCCAGAACTGGATTTCCAGTTTATGGATCAAGTTCACCATTTGGCCGTTTCTGCCTAGGAATTGTTTTGTCTCATTAAAATCCCTACGTAATTCTTTCCTACAAACTGCAATTCTCCCTGCAGTGGGCAGAAACCGCAATTCCCCGTTTCAGAACAGACCCCTGTTTTTCCCCCTTGCTGTTGTTTCAGGCGACTGCTGTTAAGCGACCCGGCTCATTTTAGTTTGACGTAAATAAAACGTTTCAACAAGTCAGAAACAATGTTTCTCTCTAGAAAAGCATACACTGAGTTGGTTATGCACAGCGAAACAAAATCGGCGCACAAAAGACGAGTAGAAGATACGAATGAAGTGGGCATAGTTTGCGTTTCCTCTACTCGTTGCTCGTCGTCTTTACGCGCAGCTTTCGTTTAGCCGTAAAATCTTCCTAGTTCTCACATTGTCAAGCAGCTGCTTCCAAAGGTAGAGCTCAAAAACTGAAGCCAAGCCTGTTCGACTTGGTTAAAGTTGTCTTGCGTGTCTTGCTTATGCGCTTGTGAGTCTTGTGTGTTCCCTTGCTTTGTCCTCGTCCTTTGTGCGCTGTTATGTTACACATGTCTATCCGACTCACTTGGAGGAGGGACAGTCCCTTGCAGCAGCCCTGTCGCGTCAGGGCAGCCTCCGCTTCCAGACCCTCGACCAGGGCCCCGCAAACCTTGAAGCAGAAAACATACCAGTGATTACCCTGACATCACAATAGCATCAACATTAGCCAAGCCATCTCAAGGAGACGAGACGTTTATGAGTGCATACATTTTTTATGAAAAAATTACCCCACAAATTTTTAGCAGTACAGAAAAAGATCTAGCTCCTAGTATGTATAAAACTTTGTCTTCAGACACAAGAAGAAACTGGCTGCAAGGGGCTTTTTCTGAATCCCTTTTCCTCGGTTACATGCAGCGACGACGGGAGACTCGAAATATTAAAAAAGCAAAGAGCCATCCGTGGCACATTATCAGTCATAAAAATATGATAGAATCGGCAAAAAATAGTTTTTGTATGCAAATAAAATACCAAAACCCCTCAAACTGAGAAAAAAAATAAAGACAACGGAACAAGTGGTTGCAGGAAGTGAAGCAACCCCAATGGCTTTTGGCGACTCCCGGGGTTTCCAACAGAAAAATGCTTGGCTGTTGTCTTGATAAAATATTGTGGTATTTCACTCTCAAAAGATAAACAAATTTTTGGGGGGGTCTCAGTAGCCCTTTAAATTATAAAAAGAAGCAAAAAAAAAACTTTCAGCCTTTCCACTTTGGTGAAGAAGGAAGACCAGCGGAGCTGTACAGTGGAAAGTAACGGCCGGCCGCAAGTCGGCAAGCCAGAGTGGAAAGGCTGCCGCCATCTATGAGCAATGGCGGCAACCAGATACGTGGCTTGCCGCCGTCACTCATAGATGGCAGTAGGTGTCCAGGGTTCGGTGTCTTCATTCCTTTGCGGGGGACACGATCCTGGGGAAACTAGCCTTTAACAGCTTCACTGTAAAAAGGGATAGGAGGTCCTCACCTCTGCCTTTGACAGCAGCCTTGCAGCCGACTTGAGGTATTGTTCTGGAAATGAACGAAACAACAGTTACTAACTAATAATTTTCCACTAAAGAAAATAATGGATGTGTATATTAGGGGGTCAGCTGGATTTCGGGAAGAGCCGGGGGGAGGGAGAGACATTTGCTGTTTTTGAACAAAGGTGAGAGACACTTGCCGGCAAGATGCTCCAGGTGTTTGTCCCCGGAGACCAGCATCTGAGAGACCGAGAAGAGAACCTCCCTGGAGACCTTTACGTTCTTCAGAGCCGACAGTGTCCGCTTCACGATGGGCAGCTCTCGGGAGGACAAGGAATCCAGGACCTTCACTGCAAGCACCACCGCAATGCCCTCGTATCACCGATTCACGCCGTCACAGACGTCAATTCATTCCCACGTTAGGTTGCTGCCATGCTGACGACATCACGCTACAGTAATGCCGCCATTGGAACTCACTCTTTCGAGCCATCTCGCTCAACTTGACGACACTGCTTAGCATCACTCTTGTTTGAAGACATATCATGTTACTGAGAACTTGTCACTCTATGAAATTCCTCAATAAATAGCATAGACAAGCTGAATTAGTAGAACCACTTTAGCAGTCACCACAGTGAAGCAAAAAGTATGTACGAGAGCTCAGAGAATCAACACCTCCAAGGTTGAAGATCAATGCAATGTAACTGCATGAACTTCTACCGTAAAATCCAACAGATGCATCAAGTTAATTAACATTCGTCCCCGTGTCTTTACACCATTTTGTTTTCCCTGCACATCAAGGATGCACGTTTCTCTCGCCTTCCAGGGTTGATCAAGACAATCCTGTATCTTTTTAGAGCGCAGCTCTTAGGGGCCCGTTTCCGGCTTGAGCGGTGTCGGCATCGCCGTCGCCGTAACCGCGAGGTCATGTGACCCCCCGAGGTCACGTGACCCCCCGAAGTCACGTGACCCCCCGAAGTCACGTGACCCCCCGAGGTCACGTGACCCCCCGAGGTCACGTGACCCCCCGAGGTCACGTGACACCCTTGAGGTCACATGACCCCCCTAAGGTCACGTGACCCCCTTGAGGTCACGTGACCCCCCTAAGGTCATGTGACCCCCTGAAGTCACGTGACCCCCTGGAGGTCATGTGACCTCAAGGAGTCACCTATCCCTCAGTACGCTTCCATCTTCCTCAAGAGCTGCGCTCTAACCGGCGTTACAGGGTAAACGGCTTTCATTTTCTAACCCTACTTGAAAGTTTGAAAGAGGAAAAAAACAAAAAAAAACAAAAAAAAACACTGCAGTTTTCAAAGGCACTCACGTTCGGCTTCGAGCCGCTCAATGTGATCGACGATGAGCACAGCACCGACGTCTGCAAAGTAAGACTGGAACTGCAGCGCCGTGACCAGCATGTCCGCTTCAAGTTTCGTGACGTCCAGCATCTTGTACAGGATCAATGAGGTAACTGGAAATCACAAGAGCAAAAACATAAACTGGTTTGCAATGTGCACCGAGTCCGGCTTTACGGGGACCATGAAATGCGGTGATGTGATTGGTCCAGGTCGTTTCGGAGCAGCTCTTTGAGCAGGCAATACCAATGCTAACATTATTTTAAGATTCATGTGTCAGCTTGTCCAACTAAAAGGCAATGTCAACATTGCCTTCTCACTTGCGTGCAACCCTTTGTTAGCATCAATTGCACAGCAGGATTGAGTCAAACAAACAGAAAACTGGCGTTTAGTTGCGTGGAGAAGCACCAGAAGGTGACTGATGAAGGACAGCACAAACCCCTGTGAACGGTTATTTTAGGTACTGAATTCCACTGAAATAATACAATAATATTGAGCAGATGAATTAAAGTTTCCTTCAAGATCTAAAGGTAGTAATATTTATAATTCAGATAAAAAACAAAGCACTTGTCATTTGATTACTAACGTCGGTTACATTTTATGTGAAGGACTTCATAACAAAAACGGCATGTGAACGAAACTTGAAAAGAACCCCGCCGAACTCGTTAAGGCTCTTCCCACGCTTCCGGCCATTACTCCTGCCAATTCAGTTCTAGTTTACTAACATCTATATAAAAGTGATAACTAAACAAATGACTTTGCATTAATAAATAAACATACAAAAGAATGCATATAATTGTTGTTACCATACCGAAGAATCCTCGCTAAATCTCGAACTTAAAAAAAGTACCACAAGGATATCCCATATACAAGCCGAAGTTGTATTAAAAAATTGTGTCGCGTCTTGCTCTGGAGGAGCGCTTTCCCCTTAGCACGCGGGTGTGCTGCGGTGAAGCAAGACACGCAAAATCGCGATGCTTACATCGCGGTTTTCGCTTCTCTGTAGTACACCAGTGCACAGCGAGAAGTGCACTTAGTGAGACGCGCCCCTCGGAGCTAGGGGCTGGGTCTGTTTCGTCCCGCCGCTGTTGAAGAGAACGACGTTTTGTTTACGGTACAGGCATGGGCCGCATCATCCGATGCCTAGCTGCGATGCCTGGTGAAAGAACCATAGGCTCACAATGTTGTGTAGCTGCCTGCTCGAACTACCGGATGACCAGCCCGGGAGTTGTCTTTCACAAGTTTCCACACGACATTGCGTCTCTGAATGTGTGGACGGACATCGCATGCCGGTGGAACTCCAGGAAGCCGTTGTTGCCAAATCGCAGAACAAGGATCTGTTCCGATTGCTTGTGCTCTTGAGACTAACTAATTTGCTGTTACCAGCTAAATAGCGAAACGTGCGTGAAAAGACCAGTTCCACTGTGAAACCAAATGAATGTGCACGGGAGCATACTTATCACGGCATTCATTATTTTCGCTGACTATTTTGCTATTGGCAATAAACGTGTAGTCTGCCGTACAGCTTCATAAAGGTACACAATTCAGGCTACTATAGCAGGAGACACATGCACGGTCAAACGACCATGGCGACACGAAATCAATGTTGCCTGTCGCAACCGAAGAACCAAAATCTGAAGACGTAAAGCTGTCTAGTAGTGCCTTGGGAAATGAAATCACATGTAAATTTTATATTTTTGCAGTCGAGCGGAGTTGCCCTTTAAAAGTTGAAATTTTATGCAGTACAGACTATGTAGAGATGCACGGCCATACGAGGATTTGTTTTAATATGGCTACGAGACACACTGAATTTTGTGAATGACAGATTATGTTGACGCACGATGCAGGCATCATGCAAGGCGTGCCATGCACAAAAAGTTTTAATGTGCAAAATATATGCGTGACATGTCGACTATTTAAGGAAAACCTTTTTTTTTTTCTGCCAAACTTTGCCTCTGTTGACGATACACCAAGCGTGGACTACATAGTTTAAAAAAAAAAGTGGTAATGTCAAATCGAGGTATTAAAAAAAAAAAAAACAAGTATTAAACGAATACTTGAAGTGCCTGTTCCAACGTCGCAAGCATGCCATACATTAATCTTTGAAGTAAAGCAGAGCTGTCGTCACCCAACGCTGGTACTTTTTAGGTACTAATATGGTAGGCGAGACGTCTCGTTTTTATAGACAGACTTCAAAACAAGAAACGCTACCAAGGAACGTGAGCGGCGAGATTTTCACCGTCGTCGAGCATCTCCGGTTGCTTACCCCTGTCGCAGAAGGCGGCCTGGCTGACGCAGGAGTGGACGAGGTGTGCCAGGGGCTCCCTCAGCCTCCCCACCGTGGTCACCAGCCCATCCCCAGAGCCCATTTGGGCCCAAAGATGGCCGACCTCGTCCTCGTCGATCAGCTGGGACCCTGGACACCGCGCGAGAGTTGTCACTACTCTTCAACAAGACACACAATTGCTACATTTAATATATACCTACATATACCTATATATATATCATATGCATGCGCCGTTTAATATACACTCGCACGCTTCTATTTCGACTGGCAACAGCGTGACACTTTTACGATGTTGTTGGGTAGAAACCGAGGGACCATGCCAGTTGGAAACTCGCTCCGATCCGGGCACGACGGCGGAATCGCCACTCTTACCGTATATGGGCCTCCTGTCCTCTGAGAAACGACGCGCCACGGAGAGCAGCCTGCGGAGGACGCGGGCCTGGAGTTGCAGTTTCTCGAGAGACGTTCTCTCCCGAGACCGCAGGGGGCCGAAGGTTCCCAGACCCTGCGGAAGAGGAGAGGGTCGCCCCTAAGGTTCTGAACTTTCGTTCCGACAAGTCCAGACACGCGAGTCGACAGAACAAGGGGGTGACCAAAGCCGGCCGGAAGAACTCGAACAGGTCCTGGAAGCCTCAGAGTAATGGACAACGTTCACCAAAGACTAAATATAGGTCGACGGAGTGCCTTAAAACGTTTCGGAATCTCTTGCGACGGAAAAACTGAGTGGCGCCACTCGTCAAGTAGCCAAGGATGACTCGGCATAGCTGCATGTTTCCCATTACTTCTTGCACCACACTCTTACTTTCTTGGCTCAAAAAACGCTTGACTTGACACTGTTATGAATGGCCATTTCTCATGATAGTACGTGTACACTCAATCTAGGAAATACTACCACAAAACCTTCGCCCTGGTGAAATGCAGTTCCGGGGCCACCTCACAGGTGGTGCCAGCTTCCCGGCGTGTTTTCTCGTTGTAAGAGACTGCAAGAACTCTGTCGTAAGCAAATGCAAGTGTGTGAACGGAACTTTGGTGAGCTTGTCGAGTATCTTAGTGGAACACAGTCTGCTACTTTGAGGCCACTGGGGAGGTGCCTTTTCAAACTAAGCATAGGTTGCAAAACTAGAGTGAGCCTAAGAATAGATCAGACAAAATATCAGGGGGCTCTGAAACTGCGAAGAACAAATGCTTGGTCCCTCCCCGTGCTCTTTGCTAGCGGGTTCAAACCCTTGGGCTGGGAAAAATGAAGGAAGGAGAGGGTGAGGTTTTACAAAAGCATTGTTTCAAGCCATACTAACATTTTAGGTTATGCCAACATTTCAGGGAAGCCAATGTTTCGGGCTATGCCGACATTTCGGGTTGAGCTAACATTTCAGGCTGTGTCAATGTTTTGGACTACGCAAACATTTTGGGCAGTGTCAATGTTTTGGGCTATACTAACATTTCAGGCTGTGGCAAAATTGCTGTGCCAACGTTTCAGGCTAAAACCAACATTTTAGGCTATGCCAAGGTTTTAGGCTACGTCATATGTTTCAAACCTTGCCAACATTTCATTCTTAGAGAAGCTTGCAAACAATTTAAGGATTCCCACCTCAACGAGCCGGATGCAGTAGCAGCAGTGCACAGCAATGGCGCAGTCCAGCTGATCCGACCCGGTGGAGGCCATCACGGGGCTCGGCGTGGAACTTCCGGCGTCGGGGCTTCTGCGGTCTCGGAGCGACGCCACGCCCGAGTCCGCCGTACCGCCGTTCTTCTTGGCCTCTCGGTTCCGGTACGGAGTCGTCTGACGAACCGGGCTGCAAAGCCGAACCAGACCCCGCTATGACAGAAAGTTCCAAGCAGCTACTGTCTACCGTTACCGTGATGACGGCATTACTTGCGGACACGCCTTGAGCTATACATGTGCACTTGGAATGTGTCCGAAGACGGTTCCTGTACGACCAGTGTGACAGAAAAGAGGGAAGAAACATGTTCCAGACAGTGTCTCTAGACTGTCTTTTGTCCCACGTATTAGAAGCGTGACCACGACTTAAGAAAAGTAAAAGGTCCGTATCAAATGCAAGAATCTGCAAATTGAACGGACGGCCAGTTTGGAAACTGCGGTGCAGACGCGGGAGACCCACCTGCTTTCGGACGATTCGGTCTCCTCGCTGTCGAGAAAGTCGAAGCAGCCCAGGGCGCTTTCGATGGAGATGCTGGCGTTGGAGCCCGTTGAAGCACGGCGCTGCCGACTCCGCTTCTGGAAAAAGAAGCACGGTCAAAAGTTGCACGCCGAAAATGCCAAGTAATTAGAGTTCCAAGTAAAAAAAAAAGTGCCGCCAATGCAATGAAAAGACGGGATTGTTAGGCTTCGCTCGTTATAAACGAAAGAGGGGTGGGATTGTGGCGGCTCAAAGCACGCAAAATCGACACACACTTGTCCTAACCTTTCCTCGCTAACTTTCAAGGTTTGGTCGCGTCAGGCCTGCTTTTATATAAGCTGCAACAAACCAAACTTAGACCTGTCTATTTTGGCCTCGTACACACCTGAAACCTGTGTACCTTAACCTAGAAAAATTAAACCTTGGATCCCTCACAATTGAGTTCTCCAAACAAATCCGATCCCAACTTTAGACGATTAGGTGCCACCATCATTTTATTCCCTTAACTCACCTCAATCAAACCTATACTGGTATTTAAATAACTTCATTATTTAAACAACTTTATCACATTCAGTGAAATAGCTTTACTCGTTACTTCGAGTATTTAAGTTTTTGTTAAGCCATACTTTGTCACAGTTATCGGCCATTCACATTGCCTTAAAAGCATGGATTACAAATTAATACTGTCTTTCGATTTATAATCATTGCCCTTAGCTACACCTTCATTAGCTAGTAATAGCAGTATTATTAGTGAGCAAAACTGAAGTCAACCCAACTAAAGCCAACGAAAACCAAGTGCTTTGGCCAAACTAAGGTAGTCAAGACGCCAAATGAAATAATTCTTTAGAGGTGCGATGCTAGGAAAGTAGAAGATCAAAAGGACACATCAATAGATGGGAAATACTTTGGTTATGCCTACATGCTCAACCGTGCACAGCACGTGCAACACGTCTAGATAAAGCGGTTAGGTCTGGGGGTCAGAGAGCTTTAAAGAAAGCGAGCAAACGTACAGATAATGCACTACACTTACCCCAAACTTCAAGATTTCTTTTTTGTTGCTTTCTTAGGCATTTTATGTCAAAAGAGGCAACAGAAAGAAAATAAATGCCGCAACGTACAAAACGGTGGTCCTTTGCTTTATTAGGAAACGAAAAGAGGTACAGAGATGAAGACGTTAACCGACACAGACGGAGCACAGAAAGGAAGGAAGAATGAAAAAGGAAAAGAGAAGGTGGCACAACCGAACACAAAATATGCAACGTACAAACACAAATAAAAAAGGAAATATTAGAGCTTTATGCCGCTACAAGCGATGCCTTAAAGGACCCTTGCGGAAGGGACCATTCTGGGTTTAAACCCTCCGCTTTGCCCTCTGGACGCAAAGTAACGGAGACGTGCACTCGAACAGAGCAACGCAAGTAACAATGTATAAATTGTCATAATAGTGTGATCCGAATTTGTCGTCACTTGTCGTTATCATCCGCGCTTAGGCCCTCTGCCTCCACCAAGACAGGTCCTTACATTCAACAAAAGAATTCAAACTGATTAGTGCTCCCCAAGCTCACGAAGTGTGGCCTAGGTGCTAATGACGATAGAACAATCATAAGTCATGACTAGGACGGCTTCAGCTGGACAATTACTTGATCAATTAACGATTACACAATTTTACAGTGTGCCTTTAGAGGGACAGACCAAACTATTTTTGGTTTTGAGTCAAGTAGACTTCTGGAATAAGCAAAGCTTCTTAGAGTTCAAAGATTAACTCTATATCCGGCTAAGGAAGAAAAGATATTAATTTAAAATGGCCTGTTTTGGCATAAATACTGAGTCATTTGGGAGCCTTCTAGAACTTCATGCCTCGGTGAATGTACACATCCAAATCGGCAGTGACACTTCCTTTCTGACCATTTAGTTTGCTATTCAAAGATTGGCTAAGAGCTTGTGGCAGCATCTTTCCATCCTGTTGTTGACCTACCCAGGTTCTTTCGGTTCCGCCAAGAACTGGTTTCTAATACAGAGCTCAGAATTCAAGATCGATTTAAACTGGAAGCAACTCTTTAATAAAAAGAAAAAAAAAAAGAAGCAATATATCCCACAGAAATACATACACCTAACGTGCATCTAGGGTAGTGCCAAAGTAGGCTACTACCATACATGACTATGAAGGAACAATTATTTAAACCAAAAATGAGCACATGTTTTCACTGAGAACATAAATGCATAAATACAAAATCTGCATTTGTACTGAATTCATATAACAGTGTGCTAAATGTGCACACAACTACCAAAGGGTGAAACAAGAGTTGAAAAATAAACAACATAGGAAAAAAGTCGTGGACTTGCACACACAAAATGCAATCAGATGGGATGCCAATTGCATTAGGCTACCTACTCCCGCCTAATAAAAAAAGAAAAATGCTGTACAAAAGCACAATTTCAGTCCCTTCACAAGCAACATGGGGCCCTACCTGCACTAGAAAAGGTCAGAGACCTCTTGTGTGGGCCCTATTACCCAGAGTTTAAACATACCCCAACAAAAAATACCTGAAGATGAGGTAATTCAAGGAATAGAAAGCTAGATGTACATTAAAACCACAAAACAATGCCTTCACAATGTTTGTTTAAACTATCAGGCTGTGGCCCATTTGAAACAGATCCCAAGTACCACCTACAGGGTGCCACGCTGCATTAACGTGTACCGTGTGTTTGGGAGAGAAAAGAACAACAGCCATGCCCACGGCGGGCAAAGGTCCTGCCCCCCGCGACCTCAAATGTAGCGCCAGTCATCCGAACCGGGTGCCCAGGTTTCAGGGCTAACCGCCATCTCGTTCAAAAGTTACCTATACGCGACTTTTTAAAATTTTGGGGAAATGGCGGTTGACTCGGATACTCGAAGCCGAATGGAACCAGTGACCGAAAACGAGCCATATATTCCTCACTGAAATCTTCACAAAATCATCTCCAACTTTGATACATCCAGGTGGATAATGGGTGTTCGTCAATGTAAAATCTATTTTTGTAATAAAAACAAAACAAAAACAGTTTTTTTGGGGGGAAGAAATGCGGCATATCGTGATGCACAACCGGAACACACGTCCACAAAAGAAGCAAGTCGACGCCGGGCAGCCGAGGACGCACGACGGGGCGGGCCGGGCGTGCGTTCAGAAGTAGAGCACGTTGTTGCCGGAGCGCGAGAGGTTCCTCACCCTGAGCATACGGTCCAGCTCTGCGATGCTCTGCTCCAAGGAGTGGAGCTCCGGGTAGTGTCCCTGGATGTCTTCCAGGCACGCACTCAGGCCCTGCACGGACTCGCGCAGGGGGGAAGAGGCCGGCGCGGCCGGAGGACCCGTCCCATTGTTGCCGGACTCTGCCAGGTCCAAGCTGCTGCCGCAGCTGTACGAGCTGCTATCGCAGGCGGTGTTGGACCACCTGAGAAGATGCGCCGAGCCATGGCGCGACCAGGTAAGAGGGCGTACGTGTCGGTTTATAAGGCTCGTTTGTCGCCTGCGTCCGTTATGTAAAACTTCCACCATATGCTTGTCAGTATGCCTCTCAATACAGTGAAACCCGTTTACCCACGTACAGCGAAATATTGTCGGTATCAAACTCACGGAAAATTTAAATAATAATGCATTTAAGAAGTACTTTTTATAACGAACAATGTACTGGCTATATCAAACTTTTTCCTTGGGAAGGCTTCCAAAAATGCGCTAACAATCGTCGTCTTCTGTGCGTGCGGAAGGAGAATCGGACGCCTCACCTCTGGGAGGTGGTGCTCTCCAGGGCCCTGAGGGTGGGGCTCTGCGCCCTTCCCGCCAGGTAGGGGTTGACCAGGAGCGTCTGCCCCACTGCCGCGCGGGGAAACTCCTCGCTGGGGCTCGTGAGGGCCGAGCCGGGGGCGGACACGCTGCCCTGGGCTGGGGGCAGCCGCCAGCGCCCGTCCCAGTCCTTGGAGTGCTGCCGCCAGTCTCGGCTCTGCTCCAACTCGTGCGCGAGGCTCTGCGGAAGTGAGGGAGAGCGGCGCTTTGGGACAGTGGACGCGGAGAGGAAAAGTGTGGCCACCTCGCACCTTTCGCGTAGTTGTTTGCTGGGTGGCAGGAGCTATTACCCGACACAATTACGGAGGGTATTGGCAATCCCTACGAAATCGACGGCACCTTGTGCTAGGATGGAGAGCTGTGGCAGCAGGTCCGCTCACCAGACCTCTTAAAGGAACAGTGACACCCCCCAAAATTATGTGTGCTTTTTGACGATGCGGAGGCATCCGCATCGTCATCGTCATCATCACTGTTGAAGTCATCAGTGACGTCACTAATGACGTCATCGGTACCCGCATCGTCATCGTCACTGACGTCATCAGTGACGTCAGTGATGACATCATCGGCATTGGGGGTCACGCGACCCCCAAGGTCACGTGACCCCCCCTGGTTAGTTTAACCCCCCCCCCCCCCCAGTGCCCTTCCTCCTCCTCCTCAAGAGCTGCACTCTAATTCGGCGTTACAGGGAGTTGTAAGCAGCTTTCACTTTTTTTTTGTTTTCTTTCCCAGGCAATTTATTATGGTTGTCAGAAGGCTACCCCATCAATATTTTGCTACAGTGTCACGTATATCAATAATAAAGTCAAAATGCAAGAGCTGGAAATCGAAACTGGACTGGGGAGGAAGACGAAATATAGAGAAGATACCAAAAATTACAAAACTGTGCAACTTTTTTTTTTTTTTTTTTCAATCAACGTGTTTGCAGTTTTTTAGAAGCCACAAAAAATGGGTATCATATTTTTTGTCCATTTCTAGTATTGAGTGCGTGCCTTCGATGACCCACGACTTTTGATTATCTTTGGTGGTTGTGTCTAAACCATAGAAAACGGCATGTGACTCCTGAGAAGAGAGTGAGCGAGACTCAAACCTACCAGTTTTCGATCAGTGGTTTTCGGGCAGAAAGAAAACAAATCTTGAGCCGCAAATTCTGTTCTGGGTAGTTGGGCTCTCATATGTCATGCACAAACAAAAACCTTGGCGAGCAAAAATACCAGTCGGTGTCACTTTAAGCGGATCATATGCACGGTGTTTGATTTTAATTCAAAGATTTTTTTGAAAAACATTTGCAAAAGGTATGCAGTGTGGTTTGTACAGGTGAGTTATACGTCCAGGGGAACATATTATTGGGGGTTATTCCTCACATTATGTTGAATAATTAACCGAAATTTGTCGATTAACCTTTTAGTTAGTGAAAATAAACGCATGGTTCTAATTAGAAACTTCCCGAGCATCATCGAAAACCCCTAAGTCAGTCAATTTCAGATGGACTCTAAGCATGTACGAAGAGCTTGGGTGTGCCAAAGTTCCACTAATGCAACCGGCACAAGTGTAGTGGTGCAACAACGCGAATCATAACCTTGTCAATGTTCATGCACCGCTAGCCTTGTGCCTGTTGCACGACTGATAACTTTGGCACACCCCAGCACCTGCCATGTACTTCGAGTCCATCTGGGAGTTTTCAAGGACACTCGGCAAGTTTTTAATTGGAACCATTTGTTCATTTTCACTAATTAAAAGTTAATTAACAATTTTTAGTTGAATATTTGACGTATAATGTGAGGAATAACCTCACATTATATCCTCACATATAATGTCCCCCGGCCCCCCTGGCCGTATAACTCACCTGCACAAACCACATTAGTGTACCTTTCACAGAATTTTTAAAAAATATCTGTTCGAATTAAAATCAAGCACCCTGTATATTCACATCATCTGGCAGTCTAAAGACGAAACCATTTAAGTATATAAAAAAAAAATATGATGAAAATAACTAATAGCTAGGTCGTACACTTTCTGGTTTTCACCAGAAAACACTGATGAACATTCATTTATGTCAAAAATGCACAATAAAAAAAAAAAACTTTTCTTCATACAAATAAAAAATAAAATTTACCAATGACTCAATAGGGAGTTAAGCCTTTATTAAGTCAAAGCAAAGAAAGGTGGGCCATCAGGACGTTTGATTCTACGAAACCAAAAAAGGTAGGGCACAAAATTGTTTCAAACTTTGCTCTCATTCATTCTTCTGCCTAATTAAATAGAGAGTATTTATTGGACGCCTTATTTGAAGGCGATGTTTAGAGCGCATGCTCAGAACAAGCTCACATTAATAGGCTGCCAAGACCGGCAATCTTGAAGGCCTGTGGAAGAACTGCGGAAGCTCGCCGTCATCTCATGCTCAGCAGCCGCGCACACAGCTATGGCCGCCAGACAATATTCCCTATACTTGAAAGCTCAAGAGACGCACTAAGTGTCGCTGAATTTATCGCACTTTCGTTCCACTGAATTTAGAAGGAAGCGTTTCTTCACTAAACGTAGCAGGAAAACTTGTATCATTATACAACTCAATTTTCCCGCCAAATTTAGAAAAGAAACGTTTCCGCTAAATTCAAGTTTAGCAAGTTACACTAGTGCATTACACTTGCAGATTACAGTTCCGCATTACACTTTTCTGCAACATTTTCTGATGCAATCTTAACTAACTCTATACACATTCCGTATATAAAAAAAAAATGGTACATAGGCCTTACCCCGGTTCTTTCGAGAATAGTATCACCCCGGAAGGGCGAAGTTCCTCGCCGCCTGGTGAAGGGTGAGCTCATCACTCCGAGGACAGGAGGCGACTGCTTGCTCGCTGCCACAGAGTCTTCGAGGCAGCCGTGCAGAGGACTGCAATGAGGAACATAACCAAATCGGAATATTCTCGATGGTAGCTTCGGAGACAGTTTTGAAAAGACGCTGCAGCCACAAGTGGAACTTTCCACGCAAGATTTTACATGTTACGAGGCCGTCAGCAACTACCGTACGATTTTCGACTGCTCGACACGGGTGTTGTCAGCACGCCCGTTCACCCGACACCGAGAAATGGACTTGTTTTCATCTTGAGTATTACAATCACCAAAGTGATTGACATTTTGTTTGACAGTAACAGCAACTGCTTGTTTTAAGTTTTGCGGGTGACCGAACGAAGCATAAATGTATACCTTTACATTATTTTGCTACAAGTCTTCCTTCTAGCTTTTTCTGGTTATACACCAAAATTTACCCCACCCTCCCCTTTTCACCCGATTTGCTCTCGATTTGGGGTGGGCCATCTCTGGGGATATTACGGTACGTCCTGAAACACTAACTCCACCGGAGTGCCAATTCGAGCAATACTCACTTCCAGGTGATGATGAGGTTGAGTTTGAGCGACCCGCTGGAGTTGAGGTTGACGGTCATCAGCTGCGAGTGGGAGCTGAAGAGCTCCTTGATCTCGCACGACTTGTTCCCCAGGAGCACGTTCTTGCCCAGGCCCCGCACCTCCACGGCCTGCACCACACAGCAATCGTAACAACCGCTAAAATAATAGCATGAAAAAAAAAATATTTCAAGATGCCTTTTTTAGCGTTCTAAACAGCTCTCCGAGGTCTATTTCCGTATTGAAGCTCGGACTATATTGGTGATAAAATTGTAACTTGTAAATTCACTTTTGGAGATGTCGCAAACACTTAGATTTGAGTTTAGAATGGCTCAGAAGAATGCACTCTTCTTAGGAGGTATACGTTTAAATGCTGAAAAAATTTTGGAAGTCAGTGAAAGTTGGTATATTTTCAATGCATTTGACAAGGTCAAAGCTCATAGATATACTCAGTTTTAGCGGGTTCAAAACGTTGGAGACAACATCTAAGGGAAGTGAATGTAAGGGTGCAAACAAGCTGGTTTAGGTTGAGCATGACATAAACCCCGAGACTGCAGGCAAAAAAACAACACAAACACGAAAAGTCATTTTTTGCCTGCAGTCTTGTGTTTTATGTCATGTTCAATCTATGAGATCATCTTTACGAACTTGAGCATGAAAGCATTGCTTTAAAGCTTTTAGACATCAAAAGTTCATACAATATGTGCAATGATGCTGGGAAACCCAGTCATTGCAACTACACCAAGAACTTTTTTAACCTTAGAAGATGTTTTACAAGATCCATAGTTTGTTTGGCATAGTAAGAAGTTGATCTTGATCTTGAGTTTACTGGTCGAAAAAAAGGTTTCTGCAGAACTTTATTGATTGTGCATTATCATTATCACTATCACCAATGATCAGTGATGCCAAAAACACCAACCTTGATGAAGAGGAACTCCCCAAGAAGGGCTTTGACGATAATCTGCTGGTTGTCCCAGACCTGCTGCCCGTTCTTCTGGACTCTACCACGGGACTTCCACTTCTGCTCCCCGTGCTTCACGCTGATCTCAAAGTTGTCCCCAGCGCAGAGACGAGCAAAGCCCTGGATCCCTAAGCAGGCGAGCGAACACACACAAGCAGTCATAAGCTGCACAGCTCCAAATATACAGCTAAGGATGTCTTGCTAATGCAAAGCCCAGAATACCTCGTTATATAGAAAACATTTTAGGGGTGATCTGGCCAGTAATGAATGCTGCGACCAGGGGCCGTAATCTGTAGATTTGGCAGCCATGATTGGTCAATGCCACACTGGGCCTTGGCACTAGCCAATCATAGCCGCCGGATTTCTCGACAAACTTTTCTGCCAAGTGACCATATTAGGGCCCCAGTGTATGTGTCCTACATCATATTTCTTTTCATTCACTCAGAGAACATATTGCGTGTGAACGTCTAAAATTTTGCTTAGTACAAAAGTTACTGCGGTCACAAGAAAAGCAAAAATTAAGAGGGTACCGGTAAACGTCAACAGGTGACCTCCGGCCTCAAAAGCCAGGAGTGCCCACCTTTCATCTGGAACTGGAGGGTGCCCATAAGCTGCTCCAGGTGTGCCTCCAGAACGCACAGGGTGTCCACGCACTCCCGGTAACCCGAGCGCACCCCGTGCAGGGCGTTGTCCTTCTCGCAGCCCGGAGAGAGCACGTAGGCGTACGCCATGCTCCGCACTCCGTCCCGCATCCTCTGCTGCACCTCGTACTGCTCGCGCAACTCCTCCACCTGGGCACACAGGCGCGCATCCAGACTATAGTCCGTTGCAACTCAAGAAGGTAGGGCGAGGGTAAGACGGGCCGGGGAGGAGGAAGCAGACGGAACGCTGGAGAGGAGAGGGGGAGACCTCCTCCTTTCTTTAGCGTTCCGTCTGCTTCCTCCTTCCCAGCCCGTCTTACCCTCGCACTACCTTCTACGGTTGCAATGGACTATAGTCCCGACGTCACAACTTTCAAGTCCGCTCGCGCAACAAAGGCCGTTCGAGACATTCAGTGTACCTAAATCTATTTTTGGCATTGATTATGCAGACCTCTTTGGTATGTCATATATATATGCGGAGCACAAGTTCGTCTGCTTCTTGAACAGGGCTTGCGAAGATGTCAGATTGCCCAGCTCGCGCCGATTGAAAAGAAATAGTGGGTAGACCTTGAGGCATCTAGCATTGAGGTCCGCTCACTATTCCTCCAATCAAAATCAATCGGAGCTCGCCGTTGTTTTGTTGTCAACGCAACCCGTGTGAGAAGCAGACAAACTTTCACACCGCATTAATTTGTTCTGAAACGAATTTCGCGGTGGTCCGAGAGATCTGATGGAACTGCTTAATTGGTCCGATAAACGTGACCAACCAATTAGTTCAATATATGTCTCTAAAGATCCAATAAGCATCTCCTCAGCTCCAATAGACTAACACAGTCAGTTCCAGCGTCATCTTTTTTGGTCCAGTAGTCATCTCTTCTGCTCAAATAAACAAGTCCACTTGGTCCGAGAGACTACTAAATCAATACAAGTTCCTATTAGACAAAAAAAGTTCCTACAGGTGCAATAGGTATTCCTTTCGAACCAATAGAGCTTTCAATTTAACCGATATAATGCTCTATCGGTGCAATAAAAACCTCTTTACGAGCGTAGCCATTTCTGTTGAACCAATAGAAATGTCTCTATAGGACCTAAAGACATTTCTATTGATCTGAGAACTTTTTACAGGACCATTAGAAATCTCTATTGGTCAAACAGAATCTCTAATGATCCTATAGAAACCGCTATTGAAACGCTTGCTAGGGCGTCTCAAAGGGCAGTTACCATCTATAAGATGGTCTGCAAGACCATATTTTTATGTACAGTCAAAGTATATTAACTGTGGACTGCAAACTGTCCATAAATACTTTATACACTTCCTACATACAAGTAAAAAAATCGTTAACCATGTTGAATTAACTTGAGACTGGGGTAGAGAAGAAACATCAAAACGTAGAAGGGACAGAACATAGACAGGATGACATCTCAAACTCAGCCGAGTTGGAGACGTCGTCCTGTTTATGTTCTGTCCCTTCTATGTTTTGATGTTTCTTCTCTACCCAGTCTCAGGTTAATTCAACATGGGTACATAAAAGTCATTATTAAATAAGATCAATCTACATCTTGATCTCCATATCCTTCCGTAATTTGACTATAGGCCATCCTTAACATGATGGAAGGCCTTTTACAGTCTGGCAGTCTTAAACTCTTTTTTCTAGACAACCTGTAACCAGGAAACTCATTGCAAATTGTAAGCAGATTCTTAAACGCTCCAAATTGGGAGTCGGTCCAGTGGTAAAAAAGGCCGGGCGCCATATTGTACACTTAAAAGGCAGAGGTAACCGAGTTAAAGCTCCCTCATTATTCGACAGCGCAAAACCATCTAGTGGCAGGTTGCTTTACCTTGGAGAGCTGGAACTCAAGTCGCTTGAGGTATCGCTCAGCTGTCTTCAGTTGCTGCAATACAAGACATAGCATCAAGATTCTCCGAGATGCTCAAATTTAAGAAACAGCATGCTCATCTAGCACACTACTAAGCTTCACAGCAGAAAGCAGAGGAGGCATTCACAGTTTGGGCAGCGACTTCGAAAACATAGCAAACAACAAAACAAAATGCTCTCCGAGGCTCCAAAGATGCAATGCTAAAAACCTTGGACACATCACACGGAAACCTGCCAAAGTGCACTTCAGGGTTAGTGAGCCACAGTTCAATGGTACGCACAACAATATTGCCAACACGAGCGTAAACGGAGAAGCTCAGCATTCAAAGAAATTAGCGCGGACAAAAAAAGCGGCAAAGGAAAACGCAAGGTGCAAGAAAACATGGAGCAGTCCACACGACAAACATCATTCGAATGAACAGGTTCAGGCAGGGTGTACGGAGCGACACCGTCAAACGTGCTTTCTCCGCAACCTCCTCACCTTCTCGCAATCATACAGCTTTCCCTGAGACTGAGGTGTAGAAGAGAAAAAGAGCGAAGCCTCGAATGTCACCTCACCCTCGCCTGAACGACACCCAAAGCAAAAAGAGAGTGAAAAGCAAAAGGGTCTCACCTGCGAGGAAGACAGTGACAGGTTATCCACAGAGGACCTGAGACTAAGGATGTCCTCTTGTGCTAAACCTACACATTCCCTGCAAAAAGCAAACCAAAAACGGAAAGCACTCGGGTCAAATGAGCGTCTATCTATCTAGAAACGACATCATTCAAACTCCCGTTCAAACATTTGTGTGAATTGTAACAGGATTCAGTGTTTTCTGAATTTATCTTTTGTCAAATTTAGGGGCGTTTTTCGGTGTTAAGTTTTTGCCAAAAAGTTAGAGTTAATCAAAATATTTTTGTTTGAATCCAAAATCCAAAATTCAAAGCTTAATTTCAATATTTTCTATTTTAAAAAATATTAAAAATCCGGGTGTAAAAGTGTGCTAGATTGAAAACAATGCACTTGTGTCAACTGATTATTGTTCAGCTGGATTCAGCATTGGTGCCATTGCCATTGCCAGTACTAATTTGTCATACAACAGTTGCAAACAAGTGTTGCTTTGATAAACATTGATAGCTTAAAATCGATTAACTCCCGGAGGCAGTCACTGGGCAGCTGGTATTCACCCCGTCCTATCCATCGACCTACCCATGGCTGCCTGGGGTGGAGGGGTAAGGAGTGTAAATATAGCAGCTTTAACTGCCCACCCCCACTTCCCCTCTTTCTGAAATCTATATGGTTCATAGCTTTCATTGTTACAAAAACAATCCTTCCTTTCTGTAAGATGCACAAACGGTATGGCCCAAACTGGAAACCGCAGCAGCGGCTTTTGTCGTGACCTGAAAGTACACTGAATGACCTGTTGTCCTCAATGAACCTTGGCAATGGTCCTCAATCAACCTTCGCAATGGGCAATGAACCTTGGCAATGAACCTCGGCAAAAGAACCTTCTGTCAATGGTCCGAGATTCGAAAGATAACTGGGGTGGCATTTTCTCAGGACCACTGACCCTGTGCGCTGAACACACTTAAATGTAAAATAATGTTGTCTTTTTTTTTTTTTTTTTTCAATAAATTATTTTTTTGTCATTAATTTTTTTTATTCATTTTAAATTTAAAGTTTATTGGATAAATCCTAATTGGGGAAAATTCTACCGGCGGGTGTTTCTCCGAGTTTTTCGTTTTAGCCCAAAACAAGAAACTAATTATAACCCACTAGAGTCTCTGTCCACACCTGTATTTACATTTGAAGGTTGTGTCCTTTAATGTTCACACATCCTGGTTGCATATTCCCTACACAATAAAGCCTATTAAACTCTGATACAACTGTACTAAGGTTTCCTGCCTGAGAAAGATTGGGAAGTGGTAGGTTAGAGATTTTCAACTTGACAGGTTTTGTCGATAATGCAATTAAATGCAAAGGTGCAAGCGAGCTGGACAATAATGACGAAAATAATCCTTGGAGATTTACATTTGTCCTTTGTCCCCCTTCTCCAGGGATTACTTTCGTTGAGTTTTGTCGCAAGTTCCAGGGTCTCAGAGATCACGCAACCTACTGCGCTGTACACTCTAATTGAAGTGCCGTAGAGCTGATCGAAGTAGAGCTCTGAAGAGCCCAGCTTGACCTTGTGCATGAAGGGCCCTGTCACATACCAGCCTTCCCAATAAAAGGACTCCTCAAATCCTTATATCTGAAACCAGAGGTGACAAAAAAAAGAAAAAGACAATACACAGCCATTTCAAATACAGCTAACAAAATTTTATGACACAAACAGTCTAAGGAAGATGTGCAATAAACATGTCGAGAGCCTCCTGTTCAACTGTGTCAATAGAAAGGCCATTCCACTCAACCACTGTGTTATGCAAGGCCATCAACACATATCTACAGGCTACATCCTGCGTGCAGTTGACCAAACATGAACGAGGTATGTCGAGCTCTGAAGTGGCCTCGACAATCTGGCACCAAGGTCTGGGGTAGCGGACGAAGCGCACAGTCGAGAAAATGCAGCGCCCACCTGAGTCCCCTCTCCACGGCGTTGAAGATGAGGAGCGTCCTGGCAGGTCGGGGGGACCTGGGCGGCTTCCCGGACCACGTCGAGGAAATGCCTTGGAGGATGCGCCGAGGCGCATGCGGACTATGGTGCTGGCCCAGCACAGACCCTGGCAGAAGGACGCCGGTCGCAGCACCCACAGTTCATTTGTGCACAGTCGCTCCCAAAACATAGGAGGAGCAATACGTAAAGACCGACACTAATTTTCTTGGCTTAGTAGATTTAGAGGCTTCAAATTTTCTGTCCTCCAGAAACTTGAAAACAATTCGTGATGGAGCAAGATGACCTCGTCCGAGCTTCCCAACACTGTAACAAAACCTCGGGAAGTCGCGTTTTCGAATGCAACAATCGCCAATTGCATTCCCTCTGTAGTATGCTCCAAAATGGCAGAGCCCAGAAGTAAATCGAAGAATGGAGTGCTTACTAGCTGAAGACTATGGTCCATGCACTTGCGACTGCTTACGACCATGTGCGTTTAAATCTCTTACGACGAGAGAATACGCTGGCGTCATCTATTGGGTGGCTGAGAAACACTCGACATTCCCATATATTTCCCTTTTTCTTTTGCGCATGCACATATTTTTCTTTTTGGCCCGAAAAACTTTTTTACAATGTTATAAATGATCATTGCACAAGGAGAGTATGTAGGGTCTGTACAGAATTTTTTATGCGAAATTCAAGAACGTTTTAAGGATTTCAAGGGCATCAGAAAAATAAAGGATTCAAGGCAACACAAAGCAAAAGTGGCAATGACGTGGAACGTCTTGGATTATAGGTTAAAGCACCACTTAAAACGGAGGCATGTTGCATGATCGATGCAATCATGACAACGATTTATGCGTGTTGGCAGCTTTGCAATGAAAACTGGCTTTTCCATGCACGGAGCAGGCACATTTAGGAGAAAAAAACTATGCATTTCTCGGCGGTCAGGGTCCGCAACAATGCATCTGGCGACAAATCAAGTAGGTCGCCATGTCGGTTGTCAAGGCAACTGTCCAAGCGCTTTTCTCTCGCGATATTGTTACGCCACACTACACACATCGCCGCGGCTTGGATAAGTCAAGAGAAGTGAAGTGCATAGACTTCCATGTACATCAAGATTTCCAAAAAAAGTGCCCTGTTCTTTTTTTTTTTTTGGCAATCATTGTTATTTGACTATTTGCACTCCGGAGTTCGTGCTTCCGCGTACGCCTCCCGTGAGCGAACTTCTCGAACTGATGTGGTTCGCAAAAACATTATCATTTCCGAAATTTCGAGAAATACACAAAGAGCATCACATATTTCAGGCAGATTTAAGGGCCCTTGAAAGGCTTTTATCGAAGTCCCTGGTATTTATGGATATCAAGGAGCTGTACGACCCACGAGTATGTGTACCTTTGAGCTCGCAAATACAGCAAAACCTTCGCTCTAGTGAAATGCAGTGCCAGGGCCACCCCACAGGTGGCGCAAGCGTGCCGGAGTGTTTTCTCGTTGTACGAGATCACAAAACCTCGGTCGTGAGCAAACGCAAGCACGTAAACGAGTCTCAAGGGCAGCTTGCTTTGCGACTCTAAAATTTACCTTTGGACAGGGTGCTTGAGCTCGAACTTGAGCTGCCGCCGCTGCTGAGGCTGCTGCCCCCGTCCGTGCCGAAGGCAGGCGTGGGGGCCGCTCCCACGGCCGAGGCGGTTCGCCGGTGACCGAGCATCCCGGCAAACGATCGGCTCCGGGACAGGACCCCACCGGGAGGGGGATCTGGCGACTGCCGAGATCTGAGCCGCTCGCTCAGCGACATGTTGTGGCTCACTGCAGGGGGACAAAACACGAGCGATTCTAATGAAAGGCCAATGAAACAATCAAATACAGCGTGTCCCCACAAAATATTTATGGTGTTTCTTCGCTGCAAAAGTAGTCTATGTGGCGCCGAATACTTATTTTTGCCCAAGTGCAGCGCCGGCGGTTCGGACCAGGTGCGAAAGTTTCGGACTGAACCGTTGTCTTGTTTCAAAGCTTGTAAGTGATTTTCTGAAAATTTCAATGAGAAAATGGGGCCCATCCTCGGTAGTTCGCACCGTTCAGCCCTATGTATTCGTGGGCCTCGTCACCCACCATTCTACCATTGAAAATATCAGAAAATCGCCAACGATTTTTAAGTAAAATACCAATTCTTTCTGAAACTTTGGCATCCGGTTCAGACTGCTCGTTCTACATTTACGCAGAGACGGTGTGTTCAATGATGCGTGGTTTATTTTTGCAACTAAAAACATGCCGCAATTTTTTTTTTTTTTAAAGGGGGGGGGTGGGGGGGCATTCTACTTTTTTAGGATTTGTCATGTGTGCTGAGGCGAATGGCGGAGCTAAGCTACCTGTTTTCCTCAGCTTGGAGCATGACAAAAGCTAGGGGCACCTAGGAAGATGCCAGCTCGTGCTGTATGTAGAAGCAGCTTCCAAAACACGAGCGCATGGCCTATAAAAAGCGTGAGAGAGAGATAGAGAAAATAAATTCGTTGTGGAGGGATTGGCAGGCCTGAAAGACCAATGCCGGCTAAAAGAAAAAATTATGATGAACATGAATACCGATTGATAATAACGATCGTAAATTTATCCCAGTCCTGGGTGGTCCGAACAATTGTGCTTTACAAATATATATATAAAAAAAATTATACGGTTGGTGATTTAGTCATAAACAACATGGTCGCTAAAATGGTATGAATTCAATGGCAATCAGTCCATCGAACGGCGTTTCATCGACCGGATCGCCTCATCAACACGCAATATTTCATCGACAGATTGTTTCATCCACAAATCGTTTTATCGACAGCTTAGATTAGCTTTTTTCTGTCATAAGCTGCATGAGATCGCCGCAAAGCGGCGTGTACGGGTCGGTCACGTGGGTTAACATTTTTGTAATGAGCCGCCTAAAGTTGTCGCCGCGAAGGGGCGTGAACCATGGACGTACCAACGGGGGGGGGGGGGGGGGCAAGGGGAGCGCTTTTGACCCCACCCCCCCTTCCAGTTCTCAGAGTGGGGGGGGGGGCAAGGCATCTCTTTTGCCCCCCTGAAACGGCCACCACTGGGCGGGGCAAACACTGGCCGGCGGCGCCCAAGGGATATCAAGGAAACCACTTCCCGGCTCGGGGGGAATCCCGTTTGCCCACCCCTCAAAAACAAGTTGGTAGGCCACTGGCGTGGAAGCAGGTGGAGGGGTGGGTTAACGCGCACCCCAGTGATACATGCGTGACGAAATGTACCTACAGCGTGCAATTCGCGTTAAGGGGTGTTCAAACAGGACACTACAAAATGCACGACCCCGACAAATCGTGAAAATTGAAGCGGGCGCGTCCGCTCCAATTTTCACGATTTGTCGGAGTCGTGCAGTGTCCTGTTTGGACACCCCTTAACGAGTGTCGACGAAACGATTGTGTCGACGAAACGTGTGTTTACGAAAAACTGTCCGCGAATCGAGTTTCGACGAAATGATGGGGACCCGTATGAACCAGGCCCAAAGCCAGGAATAATTTTTCCTGGCCATGGGCCTGACTCATACGGCCCATTTCCTGGGTATGAGCCTGAAGGTCACAGCTGATGCCCAACCAAACAATCGAAGCCTAAGGAAGCAACCTTCATTTCCTACCCCCGTTCCACTCCCCAAAGACACCAAGAAAAACGAGGAGCTACTCGACAAACGAGAGGATCGATCGGTATGCAGAAAGAGCGAGGTCACGTGATCCCCGAGAAAGTGGAAAGGAGGAAAACGACATGGTAAAGCGACCAGCAGACGTCGGGTGCAAAGTGCATCGTCTACTCCGTGCCTCCGTGTCCTCCCTTCCTCCCCTCCCCCCTACAAAAAAAAAACCACTTCCGGTGTGGTGCGTTTCCCCCAAGGTCACGTCGAAGCCTTCCGCAAGGTGTCGCTGCTTGCCTTCACGGCGCCGCCCCTCTCTTTTTTTCTTCCCTTCTTTTGACGACGAGGACGGCGGCGACAGATGGGGCAGACCCGCCCAGGGTCGGAGCTCTCTGTCGCACGACTCAATATTAATAGAAAAGAAAAACAAAGTAGAAATAAGATGAGTGAGAAAGGAAGTCAGGGTTGCGACCCTGGAGCAAGAGACGTGCACGCATCTGCTGCTGCTTGGGGCTCTTAGCAGGAATATGAGAGGGAGCCATCCATCGAGTAAGGGCGAGACGAGGACGTGCCGATAACGGCGTTCCCGATAACGATCTTCAAACAAACGATGATAGCGTTCTTGCGAAAGAGAAACGTAAAACGTAAAATGACACGGTACAGAAATTTAGGGTGCTTGGCGTCGACTTGTTAGCGACCGCTCGCCAACAATTAAATGGTAATTCGACGTCATGATGGCGCTTAAGACGTCAAATTCCCAGTAACAACTGTAACAACTAGCCCAACAATCTGCAAACATTGCAGGCATCTCTAGGGAATTAAATATTGTTTTTGTCGTGATCTCGAAAAAAGGCCGGCGGTTTATTTTCAATATTTTCCTCTGCAAAGTACCAAAACAAACCTCGGTGTTTGGCATTCCCATTCCGATTTTTTTTCTTCTTCTTCTAACACTCTCCAGTTACGACGTTGAAACACTTCGCTTTTGTATATAAGTTATCAATGTTTTCTGGTTCTTCGCGACGTATTTTCCCCCCATATTCCTAATGGGAAAAGAGGACCAAATTGGAGAAATGGGGAGACTCAGTGAAAATAGGGTTCAGGCGGAGGAAAAAAAAAATAGAAACAAACTTTCAAGTAAAAGCGGGGCAACGAAAAAAGAAGTACGCACAAAAACAAAACTTTCGAAGAGTTGGAAAGCAGCATCGTTAGAGGAAAAGCGGAAATCGGGAAAAGAAAAAAAGAAAATGAAAGAAGCTTCCTAGGAAACGCCCAGAATTCGACGCTCCACTCAAGTTTCCCCCACTCAAAGAAAGAACCACATAGGCAAAAGGACCGAGGCATAAAAAACCAAAAGCAAGTTCAAAATCCCTCGCGAGCGAGGAATCGTATCAACCGATCCGCATGCTTGGCTCGTAAAGGCGGATATTTTAACGTAGCTATCGGGCACACAGTCATTGCGGGTGCAGCATTTGCCGCTTACGCAACCACACAAAACTACGGAAGTACAATCGAAACTAAGCAGACGACACAAAGACTTGCATACCGTAGGGCGCGAGTAGCAGACGACAGGAATGGTAATGCCGCAAAAGTCAACGAAATCAAAACTACGCTTTTAGAATGCTTCGACTTTTTATTTTCCACTTTTTTTATATATACTTATATTTTTTTTACCTATTTTGTACCGGTGTCACGCAAGTTAGAAGCACTTCCGCCCACGAAAAAGCATCACTTTCAATTTGCCAAAATTCGACTTCCCGCCAACACTTTTCTTTTTTAGTCCACCCACTTATCTTTTCCTTCGGTGCCATGTTTCGCGAAAAAAAAAAAAAAAATCGTTTCGTCAGAGACTGCAGCCGACAACGCTGTTCCTCTCTCTCTTTTTTTTTTTTTTTTCTTTTTTTTTGCCCACTATAATATTTTAGGCGGATTTTATTTTGCGAGAGAGTCTTTCCCCGTACAACCACTTCCAGAAAAAAAAAAAAAAAAAAAGAAAGATGCAAGGAGGGCAACACGAGGGGACACGTGCCAGATCCAAACCGGCAAATGACGTTTCGAAAGCGGGCGGAACGGTGCGTAGACGTTCGCAGGGAGACGCGATGATGCGTGGGCCCTTCTTGCCAGCAGATGCGCGCGTTCCATCCGCGACACTCGCCCCCCGAGTGACTGAGGTCCCACCCACCCTCGCGCTCCAACTTCGCAACATCCGACTCCGGCATTTCTCGTAAGGTTGGCGGTGACGTAGGCGAACGGCGCCGAGGCGTGGAATGTGCACGTCTCGCCTCCAACGTACCGACAACGCTTCCACCTGACTCCTGAGGATTCACCAAGAGCCTTTGGGAAGAATGTCGGACAGCCGTAGATCGATAACGCGTAGAAAAGGGCATGTAAGTATGTAATGCGAGTTGTTTTTTGTTCGCCATCGTGCAGATATCCAAGAAATGTTGCTTATTATTAGGTCATTAGATGCGGCGCCGCAGGCCTTCATTCGTATGGGCTATACTTGCCTTTCTATACAAAATAATACTAACGCTAAAAATAACACCAACAACCCTAATTTTCATACTGATATCAATACTAACACTAACGTTACAGTGGCGTAGCCAGGGGGGGAGGTCTATGGGGCTTCAACAACCCCCCCCCCCCCCCCCCCCCCCCCCCCCGAAAATCAAGCGAGCTGGTCAAGAATGACTAAAGTAATCCCTGGAGTAGGGGAACAAGAGGGACAAAGGACAAACAAAAATGGAGAGATCCCAAGTTCGATACCCAGACCAAAGGCCCTAAACTCGTCAAACACAAAGTTGGGGCCGAAAGTTCGCGGAGAGCTCCGGCAACTTGTTCCAACTTTGTGTTTGACGAGTTTTGTGCCCACCAGTCACCTAGCTGTGTTTGGAATTTGTGTTTTTTTTTTTGTTCCTCTTGTTCCCTTTTTCCGGGGATTACTTTAGACTAATACTTTCCGGTGTTCATTTCTATTCGGTATACACGGGGAGATCAAGAAGCCCAGGGAAATGGAACGAACAGATACTACATTCCACTCGTTTTATTTTTGTGCTAACTCGCTTCCCTATAATGAACAAATAAAAATAAAAAAAAATATTTAGCTAGCTTCCATTAATACGCGCATATATACGCAAGGTTTTGACGAACGATCATTTTCGTCAACATTTTCTTAGGCATGCGC